GGCATATGAATCTCTGACCCGGAGTGAAATGTGGGCCCAAGATCAACTTTCCTCTTGTTCACACAGATCATGTCATTATTGGACTAGCACAGAAACATAACCAAGACATACACATGACCTCAGAGTCTGTTTGAGGAGGCTCCAGGAGAATCATGGGTAATTTACTAAAACTAACGAGTACTGGGCCTTGGCCAAGACACAAAGGATGACACTCCCAACCCAACAACCACTACCTTTCCCTCTTTGTGTCTTTTTTGGGGCAGATAACCTCACGATCAGTGACAGCTTACATTTCAACCAGCAATTACTTTAAAATATATAGGGCTGCCGTCAAAAAAACTCCTTGTGTGTCAGACACGATTTGTGAGCGCGCCCTAAAAATGCAGCAGATTCTGGGCCTGACTGACTGAATCTATGCAAGTAAAAAGTGGAAAAAATGTGTAAATGTGTTCCCTTAAACCTCCTTTGTGCGGAAATTGCATTTTCTGAAAACATGTGGTACCGGTCACAATGCCAGTTCAAACAGTTACAGTAACCGAAAGGCAGTGTGCAACACTTGCTGGCAAACTGATAAAATCTTTGAGAGTCAAAGGGCCAAACCAGCGACTGGCCACCAAACATCTGCATTCTTACCAGTCAGCAATAGAGAAAAGCCTCTGAAGCGGCACCTCAAACAACAGCGGCCAGACCGGCCCTCTCTCAGCATGGCTCCCCACAAGCTATTTTATGAATGAGACATTATACTCTGCAGCAAACACCAACGATTCCCGTTACCTGATATAATGCTTAACATATCACTAGTTAGTTATACAGTACATCAGTGAGAATTCAAACAGTCTGATACATCATGAAGCTTCAAGTATAGGCAGCAAATAGTCAAACATTTGCAGACACCCATCCATTATTACTTCATCCACAGTTTTGAATACTATATAGTCAAAAACTGTGAAATATAGAAAGACAAATACATGGGAATTAAATAAAACCAAAACTCTTTTGCATTTTAGCTTATTTAATGAAGCCACCATTTACCTGGATTCTGGGATGGGATCCTGGGATGCTTTGTGAAGTTTCTATGTATGCTGGACACGTACTGGCTGCTTTGCCTTCATTAACCGGCTTTATATTTGTAAACAAATTAACCTTTAGCTCATAAGAAACTTATTTAGTTGACTGGACTATACATGTGCCCATCATGTTTGTTAATGGCCTCTTAAAGTTAATATAAAGTGTTATGTTGACCATTTATCATGTGCCCCCAGCAACCAATATGTATTCTAATTCAGGGGTTCTCAAACAGGGGCCTGGGGCCAACTAGGGGGCCTTATAATCCGAATCAAAATCAGAAAGAGCTTTATTGCCAAGTATGTTTGCACAAACAAGGAACTTGTTCTGGTGACAGAAGCTTCCAGTACACAGAGAAAACAACAACACACAGATAATAAAAAATAATTGTATTCAACTTATTCAATGAAGCCACCATTTACCTGCATTCTACCAGCTTCATGAGGTGCATCCTGGGATGCTTTGTGAAGTTTCTATGTATGCTGGACACGTACTGGCTGCTTTGCCTTCATTAACCGGCTTTATATTTGTAAACAAATTAACCTTTAGCTCATAAGAAACTTATTTAGTTGACTGGACTATACATGTGCCCATCATGTTTGTTAATGGCCTCTTAAAGTTAATATAAAGTGTTATGTTGACCATTTATCATGTGCCCCCAGCAACCAATATGTATTCTAATTCAGGGGTTCTCAAACAGGGGCCTGGGGCCAACTAGGGGGCCTTATAATCCGAATCAAAATCAGAAAGAGCTTTATTGCCAAGTATGTTTGCACAAACAAGGAACTTGTTCTGGTGACAGAAGCTTCCAGTACACAGAGAAAACAACAACACACAGATAATAAAAAATAAGACATGTGAATAAACTACACACACACACACACACATATTATATATGAAATAGACAAAATTTGTATGTACAGTTGCGGTATATAGGATGAATAAAATGATTTTTTTTTTTTTTTTAAAATACAGATTATTTGAATACAATTTTTTAAAAAAAATCCATATTTTGTTTTATTTATATTTAATAACATTTTTAGATTTTTAGAATAGAGTTTCTGTAATACATAGAACTTAAATTAAATATGAAGGATTAATTAAATATAATTTATTTAATTTTATGGGTTAAAAAACTAAAAACAATTATGTATAAAAATAAAAGGAATTATGAGAAATTAATGAGAAATTTTTTATGTATTAAAATAATGTAACAATTAAATTGCTAAAAATGTAAATATTTCAGCCTATATATGGGGGGGGGGGGGGTTT